TCATTATATTTCCCAATATCGGGATATAGACACACGCATGAAATCCATAATTTAGTTGTACATGTTGGTAAATATTTTGATGAAAATAACAATAATTTTAAAACGAGAGAGCGTTCAATCTCAGCTTAATCTGAGATTAAACATATCTTATAGACCTTTTTAGTACACACGCACACATCCTCCCCAAGCCACCATTGAATGAATTCATATATATCACCAGGTTTTATCATGACCTCAGGTATGTCAAAGTTGAAGTGCTTACAGGAAATTAAATGGCTCGTAAAACAACATAAAACGTAGTGAATGAGCACAATAATCTTGCAGAAGCATCAATATCATCATTATCATCATCAATAAATAAATTATAAGACCGTACACACACACACACACACCACATGAACGCAACTTGTTGGTTCTTCTTAACTTATTATCAAACAAGAAGAATCTGATATAAGATTACGGAGAGGAACACAGTTGAACTTTGTTTCACGATGGAGCCTAACCTGGGAAATACTTCATATCAACTTTATTTACTTTTTTGATGTATCTTCCAACTTCCAAGTTTAACAGATAGCTTTTGGGTGCTTCTGTCCCGTGGTTACGTCTGGAAAGAGCGCATATGCTTTCTTTGCATTGCATATACTGATTTTAATCATATTACATCATTAATTAGTAAATGAAAAGTAAAGTAACAGCATTTTATTGTTACGTAGTATATTCATATATGAAAAGTGCAATGTGTATTTATTGCGAATTCAAATTAATATCAAGAATTTCTATTCAAATCCATTGAGTAAATAGTTTTGCATGGGATAAGTAATATTTATGCTATGCTGGATGTAAAAGCCAAGGTTTCGCAGTGCTTTCATAAAAATTTATCAAATTATAAAATAAAGAACGGAATAGCACTCTACTTGGTAAGGCATCAGAGAGAGATAAATGGTGTGTGTGAGTAACGGAAGTACAAGAATAATCAAGAAATTAGAAAAAAAAGTGAGAAATTTTTTAAAAGGAGAATCACAATATCATATATTATATATCAATGACAATAATATAATTATCGTGGCCTAAAAAAAAGGACAATAATATAATTTTGGACATCAATTAAAAAAAATTGTGGACGATACGTGCCCATGTGGCTCGCCGCCATTGTTTATTCTCCCAACTGCTAATTAAATAATAAATAATGGTACGCTTGCAAGTTCCGCATCGCAAATTAGAAGGGTCTCCTCCAAACGTGAAAAGGCAGCTGAGACAAGAAAAGAAAGTAGACTCTTTACAGTTAGAAATTTATAAAATATTTTTAGAATTAGAGAAATAAAAAAAAGGGTAAAAAAACTCACGTACCAGTTCTTGTATCATCCTTTCTTTTGTTTAAGAAAAAAAATTATTTGTTTGAAATCCAAATATCCTGTACTTCACGATTGAATAAATCTTGCGTGTTCTGTTGGGTTCAAAGCAAGTTTGGATCTGGACAGCAATTATATGTCTGTGTCTGTGAACTTCCTCCTTTTCCTTTTCTGTCAATTTTTTAAAAAAGATTATTTTTTATTCTTCAAATTTAAGATATTATAAATTTTTATTTCTTTGAATTATATTGTCTTTCTTTACTAAAAAGTAAAGAAATTCTATATCTATACTAGGAAATAAAGAAAATAAAGAAAGTCTCAAATATTAATTTTGCTTTTCAATTCCTGTTGACCGAAGTTAAACGGAGGCCGGGAGGTGGGTAAACCGTACTACATCGGTGCGTCCCTAGACCATGGAAACGTGGTTTGCAAAACAAGCAGTGAAGCTGATAAATGGAGGGGATAAATATTTTATATATATATATATATATATATATAGGTTTATATGCACGAAGTTATAAAGTAGTTTAGGCTGTGAGTAAAATTAATAGTATTTAAAGTAAAATACGTTCACTTCTCCTCCATTTTACTTTAATTATAGAGATAGAGAGCGCTCTTTTATTTAAAAAAATATACAAGCCACTCATAAAATTAATAATCACAAAACACAAACTTTCTTTTATTTTAATGATTATAAAAAAATTCATTGCCATTTACTCAAATAATTAGTTGATAGTTATGATAAATTTTTTGAACTAAAAATACACCTCTTAAAACATAATTTTTTCTTAAAAATCATTTAAAATGCCAAAAATAATACATATATTTTTTAAAAAAATTTATTCACTTTTTTAGTTATGTAAAATTATTTATTTATTATTTTTTCAAAATAAATATATCAGTTGACTAAGATAATATATCTTAATTAAATAGGTATTTAATATAATAAGAGAGAAATTAGTTAACATAATTTATGTTTATTTTCTGCAATTTCTCAATTTCAAACAATATTTTTAAATTATTTATTTAAATACTGTCATAATTAAATTTTTTTTACCAAGATATCCTCACAATTAGCAACCGTAAGACTAATCTCTCCCAATTGATACTCTTTCATACACACCTTCAAGAATTACACCCTAAAATGATCCTTAAAAGTGCATACCGCTACTATTCGTGCCTTATTATAACATCTTAAATTTTTAATTTGAAACTTTAAGTGTTTAAGAAGGATAAATTAATTAAATATGTAATTTATAAATTAATAATATTTTTAAAAATACTAATAAAGTTATTGACTTTGAACAAGTTGGTGGGTAAGGCCTATGCCGCGGTGAATGGTGCCAATTTTGAAATTTTTTAGATTATTTCAATTGTATTTCTAAAAGCTTTTTTTGTATTTTCATACTTCTGTTATCTTATATAACTTATTTTAAATTATAATTTGAGCTTAAACGGCATTTTAATAAGATTTTTTTTTAGATTTTAATATTTTAAACTATTTACCTTTAAATTCTTGGGCTGTAATGACTTATCTTAGAGATTTGAATTAATTTTAATTATCACAATAATGTATTAAAATGTTATTTTTGTAATGCCAATGTGTACATTATATTACTCACTTGATCATAATTAATTATTTAAAATTCATTAAGTTGGGAGAGAAAGTATACAAATAATCAATCAGATGGGCAAACTAATAATTGTAAATTTTTCAACATAATTGCAAGGAAAAAATTAAAAATTTTAGAATATTCTTCAACAATGTTAAAAATTTGACTAAAATATATAATTTGAAAATAACAAGGAAGTCCTTGTAATTTTAGTAAAATAGAAGGGAGTCACAGCATTTTGCTTTAATATTTACCTTAAAATGCTCTTATCTGTATAGTATTTTTTTTAGGAAAATACTTGCTCGACCTTTCGTGATTGTTATTAACCATGGAAGGTATAATACTAAGAAATAATTAATTTTTCGTTAAGATTCTAAACCGACAGTTCATTTAAAATAAAATAAATTTTCTAAAGTGACTAGTATTTGAAAATGGATCGAGTATTATTTTAAACAATTTAACAAATTTAAGAAATCACAATCATTATTTAAGAATAAAAAACCTGTATACTTAATTTTATATCCTACTTATTTTTAATAGTCATGCCATGTGTACTTCCCTTTTCATTTCATAATTATTTATCCTGTAACTAAATTTTTCTAATAATAATGTAAATTTTTGAAAAATTTTAAAGGATACATTTAACATATTTATTTAACGTGATTATATATTCAAGATAAGTTGATTTAATTTCTTTAACTAGTTAAACCAAGTTTTATAATTCAATTATGCTAATTTGGTTTAAACTAATTAAGTACGTATGATAAATATAAATAAGATGATATACCTAATTTTCTTCTAAAAAAAATCCCTACATATAAAATGTTATAGACAACAATTATAAATTAAAAAACAAGTCCAAATATATCCAACTTGATTTAACAAATATATAACCCGTTTAATTTATTAATTTGGCACCCCGTGAAAATGAAGTGAACATTTTTTTCAGAATATTCTTATACATATATACATGATTGAGATATGGCCATTCTGGCTAAATTATACATTTCTTTAATTCACTCATATTGAATTTTTAAATAAAAACGTAAAAAATATATCTTTTTAATGTTTTTGACATGGAACATGTGGTGAATAACTTTATAGAACACATTGATCGTTTTGGACAAAACTTGTAAAAATATGAAATAAGGATCGGACAAGGAAAATTTCGAGTAATGTAACCGGAAAATAACTCATCATGATGGATGTGATGGAAAGAAAAAAAAAAATGTATCTTCATATATATGTTTTTCTTCTATCAACTCATTTTCTCATGACCCGGAGGGAATCCTAATTCAGTGACCTCACGGACGATATTTCAATATCATTCTTTCTTTCGTTTTTTTTTTTTTTTTGGGAAGACTCTTTCCTTTCCTCCCACTCTTGGGTCCATCCACGCGAGTTCGATAAATAATAATGAAATATAGTCAAGTACAGTAATATTATATGCACCCACTGGAATAAGAATAGTACTCTAGATTTTTTTGGGAATAGGATCTGGAAGTCAGTTCACATTCTCCTCCAGGAGCAAAGTATCTGTCTAAGTTATGATATTCTGTTCCATAATATTTTCTAATCCAGAATTTTAATGAATCTGAAATTAATTTTTAGACTATTTTGCTTTTGTTTGTAAGAGAGAGTTATTAAAACAATATAACAGAAAATTTAAAAATAAATAAGAACATTAGTTTTTGCTATACCATGAGCGATTGAACTTTTAATCTCTACTCCTATCTCACTTCACACTTGCTACTTAGAGCTAGATTTAGGTAGTTAAAATAAAAATGATTCCAACTTTTAATAATAATAATAATAATAGAAGATGGTATTCAATAATTTTTAACGAGTAAAAGTTCCATATGGATGACGCCCAGCGGAGAGAAGCATCATATAATTGGACCTCCAAATTGACAAATGTTTAGTGACAACTCTGGCCCATGGCTTGAAAATACGTACTTGATGAATGCACCGTGCTTCCTAAAATTTCAATGATAATCTTAATTATGGAGCAATATTCCAATTCTTTCAATTCTGACTGGATGCATTCACAGCCAAGCTAAGCTGCCATTGCACAAAAGCCCTCTCTCTCTCTCTCTATATAAACATGTGAATAGAAACTTCTTCAAGTCTCTGGGAGATAGAAGATTGCGGTCATTAGAGGCCGTGTGGCCTTTGACTTGTGCTATTTCTTCAACTCTTCCTGCAAAATACAAGCCTATTTGTGGATGCCTGTGTCTCCAGCCACCACCATTAAGAAATCAATTCTTAAGCTTTTTAATACCATCCATCAGACGCAATTACAAGAACTTGCTAGTTCCGCCGAGTATTAGATTGCGAGAGAGATGGGTAGAGCTCCTTGCTGCGACAAGGCAAATGTAAAGAAAGGGCCATGGTCTCCTGAAGAAGATGCACAGCTGAAGGAGTACATAGACAAGCATGGGACTGGAGGCAATTGGATTGCCCTCCCTCAAAAAGCTGGTAAGATTTTTCCTTTTCTTGTTCAAATTTGTGTGGAGATGAGAGTGCTCTAGCCCGACAGCAGAGTAGACAGTGATGTTCCGGGATCTTTCTTCTTGTTTCTCTGTTTTGTTTTGTATCACTGATTGGATTTCTTGTGGGTAAGGTCTCAAAAGATGTGGGAAAAGCTGTAGGCTAAGATGGCTCAACTATCTCCGACCCAACATCAAACACGGCGAGTTCTCCGATCATGAAGATAGGATCATCTGCAGCCTCTTTGCCAGCATCGGAAGCAGGTTTTCTCTTCGAATATTCATTCCCTGCAGATTTCTTTTTCAAATTCCCAATACAACAAAGAGCCAGAGCATTATCCGGAGATCATAAGCATTAATTCAAGAGTTCATCACTTTCTGGGGGAAATAACTGTCAAAATTGAGAACTGATTTGAATGTTTACGTATATATTACTGTCAAATTCACAATATTGTGGCGAAGTGCAGGTGGTCAGTGATAGCATCTCATCTGCCTGGAAGAACTGATAACGATATTAAGAACTACTGGAACACCAAGCTTAAGAAGAAGATGATGATAATGAATCCTTCAGCTCATCACCAAGCCACCGTTTTACCGGTTCTCCAAACTTCAACGCCATCTTCATCCTCGTCATCAGCATCTTCACCATTATCATTCACAGAAAGCACCAACTCTTACTGCCACCCTCCTTGTGCTTCTTCATTCACAGGCGCTGATCAATCCATTTCCTTCTCGTCGGCGAGTTTTTTGAGCGGCCATTCCTCCTGTGCTTCTGCTGGCTCCTTTTATCAAACCCAAGAAAGCTTCATGAGTCCCATCGAGCTAGTCGCAGCTAGTTGTAACTCTTCTAATGGGAGCTATAATAACAGCAGCCAGATGAGCCGTGTGAAAGAATCAGAAGCTGCTGGTTACGGAGTAGATCAAGGAAGTCTTATCCAGGAGATGATAGCTGCCAATAATAACTATGATTATCTGTACAGCATTGGGATGGAAATGGAAGAAACCCAGAAGGTGATGGTGTGTGATGGGGACTACGTGAGTGTTGGCTGGACAGAGAAACAAAATGGACTGTGGCAAGAGAATAATCCACCATTTGATTATGGAATAGAAGAAATTAAGCAGCTAATAAGCTCTAGTAGTGGCAACAACTTTTTGTTTGATGAAAACATGACACAGAAAATGGCCATGTACTACTACTGATTAGCTTGGACGGTGTTGTTACTTCGAAGTGCTTAATAATTATTACAACTTCTCTTTAATCTCTATACTATGTACTATGTTAATGTTAAATTGTGCCGTATACTTTCTCGGAAATCGATCGGTAATAATTTGGTCCAGCTAACTTCACCGTTTAAGATTACACAAAGCATCAGAGTATCCCTCACCCACCACAATTTATTAGAAAGTTTCCCCTCTTCTTCTTGTTTTTTTTTTTTTAATGAGATTTCCCCTCTATTTTTAGTCAGTTACATGCGCTTTCGACACGAAGAACAACACAGGTCTTTAAATATTTTCGGTCCTTTAAAAATGTGTTTTCTCCGCTCCAGCATCACTTAAATTTAGTTTAATAAATCTGATCTGAGAGTCATTAACTTGCGTGTTGCGTACAGTTTGAATCACTCGTTGGTCTTGGTATTTGAAGAAACCAAAGTTGTGCTGATCCATCCTTAGAACAAGCTGGATTAACGTCTCGCATAACATCATAGTATGAATGCTTGAAGTTTTCAAATAAAAACACTGCACAAGAAAGTTGTTGTGGATATATTTTGCTTTAATTTTCTCTAAAACTTCCCAAACACTGTTTACCAAACAAAAAAAGCTTCACTAAACATTTATGCTATATTTAGTAGACAGAAAATAGTTTTTAAAAAGAAAATGAGAAATGCAACTATGGTCTATCCTACTTATTTTTTCCTGAGTACATTTTTTTTTTAAAAGAAACACTTTTCGTATATCAAACATGTAGTTAGTATTTCAATTTTAGTGTGATATTTTGAATCAATCTAGAATATGTGTGTGTAACTGAATCGACAAGAACGGACATGGATAAATGCAACACGATCTATATATAAAATTATTGCCTTCAAATCATGAGGGTGAGATGACTGGGGATAGTATTGCAATTCAAATCCTCCTGATACCCGGGGGGGCATTGACCTGCGATAAAACAATGACTAGACAAAATCACAAGTTAAACTAGCCTATACAATGATGTTGGTAAAGGGAATCCCCATAATTGAGGCATGCCAATCCAGAACCATCAATTATGACATCCCTACAAGAAAAACATGCTTTATAACTATTATCCTCAAGTCTCTCATTTTATTTTCACAGGTTTTATTTAATATCAATGACACACATGATATGTTTTTCCCATTGCCCTTTTGATTGGGACTTGCAGAGCGATGGGGGGCAAAAATATTGATCTGAAAATGAGTTAACAATAAACTAATCCAACATGGGGAAACAGAGATTTGAAACATAAAAATAATTAAAGGCTGCATCATATAATGCAGCTCACAAAAGAATCCTCACGGAAGATCAGTCCAAAACAACTTTAAAAATGTATTATCTTAAAGATAATGATGCCTTGGATTCTACTAATTAATCTAGCATAAAAGTAGGGGATATGTGTATGCATTAGCCTCTTCCCCATTTTGTTTGCTTCCCTCGGTGTGATATAGACACAAACAGGGTTTGCCAGCTATAGGCACTATATAATGCAGATTAAAATATTGGCACAAATTGTCTTGAAAGATTGTACAAAAGGGCCTTGCTAGCAAGTGTACTTTTTATAGGGTCCAAAAAGTTTTACCTTCTATACTTGCCCCATCAAAGTTCCAAGCATTGTCCTAATTTTCCCCCTCTTGTGCGGATTTTTTTCAATTGCTTTTTGGAATTTTCATGTTTCTGTCCACACAAGGAGGGTGAAGAATTCAAAGGGGTTGGACTTTCGGATTAGTCAATCAGCAAAATCTGCCATTATTGTCAAATTGATTTGTTCAACAACGCCACAATGGCTTGATCTTCCCATTCATTAGTTCCCCATGCACCGCATGTCACCATTTTAGATGACATTCACTATCACACAAGCATAAAAAATAATTTTCAGGGTTAGCACATCACAGCAGAAGAAATCAAAGATGAATATAATTAGGCTAACAATAAATGAACCAGTAAAAGTTAAAAGCCAAATAGTGCCATCGATCACCAGTATAAAATATAATAAAATCTATTAAAAAAATCCTATCGTTCATGAGGGATAAATAATGCAATCCATTTATCAAATTTTATGTAATTTCATGAGATCCATGATAATTATAGAAAAATGATGTTCGATTTTTTTAATTAATTAATGGCCAGGCCATGATATGATAAGTTTTCTAATCAAAAGATGAAGAATAAAAATAATATAATTTTAAAAAAAATAATATCCAAGTCCTTCTGATTTTCCTTGATTTTAAATTACACTCTTATATTTTATTTTATTTTAATTAAGCTCTTATAATTTGATTGATTAAATATATTAGTTCCTAAGAGTTAAAATTCTTGAATTTTTTCTTTTAAAAAATGAAATTGAAAGCTTTTACATTTTTATTAAAAGATTATATAAATTTATAATTAATGAAATTTTTTATCATTGAAAATTTATATAATTAGGTCATGTTTTTAAATAATTTTTATAAATATAGAATTTACATAAAAATTAATAAAAATGTAAACATTGTATTGAATCAATTTTTTTAATTTTGAAAGTTTTCTATGTAAAAGTTAATCATTCATTAATATTTTAATTATTAAATACTAATATATTTAATTGATCAAAATATAAAAATTTGATTAAGATAAAATAAACTACAAAGATCTAACTTAAAATTGATAAAAACTAGACCAGCAAAATAATTTTTTTCAATATTTTTTTTTTCCTTTTATGTGCCAAGCTGGATAGCTGACTTCTTTTTGCGGACGGGACACATGACAATTCTTTGATCTAAGTGGAAGACTCCAAATCTCAATGGCGTAGACTTCGATTTTACAAACACGTTGTAAAATCAAGGAAAATTTAAATTTGAAGACTACAAGCGTACAAAATTTATTATAAAAAAATTTGTTACAATCATGTAGAATATCTTTTTAATTAAAAAATTGAAGCAGATCTTTTCAACATTAATTTTATAACTTTAATATTTCAAAATAATTTTATCTTCTATTGACTTTTTGCCGGTCGAATCCTAAAAGTCAAAAACTAACCACACTGTGGGCACCGTAACACGTTCTTCCAAAGGAATATTATAGTAAGAACAGAACAAAAATGGTTAAAATAAGAGGAAAACTTTACAACAAGTGATTTTAATATGTGAATGATGTGCAACTAGTTGATTTTAACAAGTGATTTCACAACTTGACAGTGTCAAGAGTTAGCAAAGAAATTATGTTATTTTGTTACACAGAGAATGGGAGAGGAGAATACTTTATTACACTTATCAGTTGTCACTTGTGTTCGAACTATATATACCAATTACCAAGGGCGAGAAATTTACCCTTATTATTTTATTTGACATTATTTTCTTGCGCTGTTATCCTCATCAAACAGCTTAAGAGTTCGTGATCAGTTTCATTCCACAAAAGCCTCCTTCATACTGGGCTACTAGACATTGGGTCATTGGGTCTTTAAGCCCAATGAATGTCTCAACAACACAAACGCATGTCTTCCTTTTGCACTCATCTCGTTAGGTTTTAGGTCTAGCGCCAGTGACCCTCATCATCTTGCTCTTAATCTCCATGTGTTAGGTTTTACAATGTATACCCCTTCTAACTGTTTGGGCTTTTATCGGGCTGACTTCCTATGTAATTCGGTGCGACTTGTACTTTCAGACTTAGTCGGTCTCTTTGATTTCAAGAAAAAAGCATATGAGCTTCTTGGCGATGGCCTCGTGCTTCTTGAACCATCCTGGTTCTCAAAGAACAAATGGGACTTCAGTCCCCATCTTGGTCATTTTCTCATTTTTGTATGCTGTTTGGGCTCAGGCCCTCTTTGATTTTTCTATTTTCTTTTAATGAAAATGGTACTCAACTCATGAAAAGATTACATCCTAAAAAACAAAAATTCCAATAATTTCCTTTTATTACCTATCAGCTTCATGAAAAAAAGTGGGAGTTGATTAAAAGAAACAAAATAATCAAGAATTGTTAAGAGATGGGCACAAGTACTAGCCTCTTTATACGTAAATTAAAATACAAACAAACTTTTCAATCTCTCTGTTCGTCGTGAACAACAAAAACATTAAGTATGTTGGAAATGCTGAGTTTGAAATGATAACAAAGGATCCTTGAGTTCTCTTATCATAATTTATCCAGATGTAAAGATACAAATAAATTGGAATAACAAGTGTTTTGATTGATAAAATATATAAATTACAAAGTAGTAAAGACTACAAAGCTAATGATACTACTACAGTTATTTGAAAACAAAAGTTAAAAAATATAATGGACTTTGTTGATTGATTGTTGTTCGGTCCCTCTCTTTGTGACCTTCTCCTTTTGAAATGGTTTAATTGAGACGGTTGCTCCCATAGAATCTGGAACTCGTTCACGAAATATCAAGGATTCAAAATGCATGGTTTGTGAGATTTGTAGCACAATCTTCCTATTGGCAATGTGTTCTGTCAATAATTGTCAACCCATGTCCCTAAGATATTCGATAATGGCTATGACTTTGCGAGATTCAAGACTTGTTGAGAACATAATTTATTATGAGGTAACGTTCTAGCTAAAGATTTCAGTCTTAAAGAATTTATACATTCGAATTGACTTAGTCAAGTTATTCATCATGATGGGCTGGCCCTATTGTTGGATCGCTTGCTGGACTTAACTTTTTAGTTTCTTGACCCATTTTCTATCATAGTTATGGTAAATGACATTTTAATTTTAGCCCAAACATGCCACAAAACAATGATTTAGCTTAGTTGATAATATCTCTAAAAGGATATTGACATATTACACTAAATTATCATATTGATTGCTTCAACATAATTGGTAAAAACTTGACATTTTGGAAATTCTTATCCCAACAAAGTTGGAGACTATAGATAAAACCAAATATCTCGGCAACAGCAAAAATAATAATTACCAATGCTAACAGTAATTAAAGCCACAAATCCAAGAAGCACTGGAGTCTCTAATTGCTTACTTTTTCTTTTTTCTTTTTTAGATACTTCTCTCACATTTATTGTACAGGCTGATACAACTTTACAAACAG